AAGCACGAAAACTAAACTTAAATTAACACTAAATGAAACTCAAAAACACTATTATAATAAGAATATTATCTAAAAACAGTTAAAAAATCACAAATACAAAATCCCACAACACGTAAATAAACAAACATCCTACTTATACGTGACAAATGACAGGCGCGCGAAAATTAATTTGAATCGCGAATATGACATAAACCCTACTCCTAATTTCTAAGCCGACAGCGGTGAAAAAAAGGGTCGGTGCGCATGACAATTTGGACACCAGACTGTCAATAGTCTCAATGTGTTAATTTCGAGTATTCTACGTCACGTTTCCCACGGGCGCACTTCGATAAGTTATATTATTTTTTATTAATAACGCGCTATTTTCCCAGATAGCATTTTCACATACCAGGTATATCTTATGAACATACTTTCTATGAATTTGTATATACCTGGAATGTACCTAATTATCATTGTGGACATTCAAAGGACATACATGGTATGTACCTTATTCCCCTTTTTGTACATTCCATGGATGTGTATATGTACATGTGAATGTACATACATGGTATGTACATCTAACTACATTCATTTGATATATATTCCATGTATGTACCTGTTATATCCAGTATATACTATGCATGTATTAAAAACATCCTTCTAGGTATATTCAAGGTATATTCCTATAGGTAAGAGCTATGTACATACAATTGTTAATATGAATAGGTACCTAAATAATTTATATTTAACTTTTTTCTATCATTGGAACATAAGAATGAATTACTCTGTAGATAAGTGAACGTATGAAATTCAAATATATCTACATAGTACCTATATTATGTACACACTTCTCAAAAATATTATGTCAGGTTTACCTATATAGCACTTACTAAAGGAATCTACCCAGAACACACACATATACATATATATTATGTATACTTCATAATGTACTTTTTACACCAATAGATTTTTCAAAATTTACAAAACTGATAATGATCTAAATTATAAGTCAGGTATCAGGATAAAAAGGACAATTTAAAAATATATATTGTGTGTCATTTAAAGAAACATATACTTTTTATTAAAACTTATTTTTAAAAACAGCCAAAACAATTTTTATTTTTTTCCTAATTTCTTAATTCTCAACTGCAGTCTCAACCTAAAAATAAAAAATTGAATTAAATAAGTTTACACACATTAAAAATATTGAATATGAATTAAAATTACTTCTTAACAGTTTCAATAACTTGCCTAATGCCGACAGAGAAATGTTTTCCTCTACAGACCATTTGGCTAACTGTGAACTGAAATTAGAACTTTCAGTAGAAACTGCCTGATCATGAGATGTACTTGCACTATTAATCATTTGATCTATTGAAGAAGGAATTACATTTGGAATATCTCCATCTCTAACTGAGCTTTGGTGAGAATTATCTGAATCTAAAATCACGGAGACAAACTCAGACCCTGAACTTCTGCTGGACTCCGTTCTAGGTCTTAATGCTTTTTTTTTGACTTGGTTCTGCATTTCTATTGTTGTACAGAGCTAGTATGCCCTGTACTCTTTTAGCAGCACTTTTTTTAATGAGCTTCTTTGAAGCTGTAGTTGATCTTTTAATGATACCTTTTGTTACTCTCTGCATATTTAAAATTAAAATAACTACAATGCCATAAAATTACTTTACCTTTATCGCAAGTATGAAGTGAAGTCACGTATTCAATTACACACACAAACACTGGCGTGACGGATCTGCAAAAACGAGAAACGTGGTATTAAAATATGTTAGAGAAATAAAAAAAAATCTACAATCTCTCTTCAGTCCTTAAACTTACCTTGCCAAATTTCGCAAATACCTATCAAGTGAAGTTACTCAATACTAATAACTAAAAAGCACGCACAAAACTCTTTTTGTTCTTTTTTGGGCTATGTCCAGAGGACAAGTTACCCAGCTTGTCCTTTTATAAGGGATATCGTAGTCTTGCTCTTGGCAATAAGACATCCCTAAAATGGCTACACTTATATTTATTTTCTATAAATTTAGCTTTTATACCACACAAAACTCTATACATAGTTAACTAACAAAACTGGATTGCCGAATGCCGGGAAGCGGGACACAAGACAAAAATAGGTTAGGTTTTCTGCTTTAGATTACCCAACAAAAATAACAAAATGGAGCAAATATGACGCAGCACAGCACATAGCACAAAGAAGTGAACTGTGTCATGCAGTCTGCGCAGCCGCGACGATCATGCCAAATTACTCAAAGTAAAAGACGTATATAATTGGGCTAGTGATCCTATAGATGGCGCAACTAATAAAATTTATTACACAGTTGTTAATTAAATTAAAACAGTGTTATCACTTTCACACAATTAAATAACTAAATCACAGTGAAGAGGTGTTCTGTGAATTTAAATCATTACCTGTTTATTTGTAAAATAAAAAAAAACGGAAAATAACCATAAATTGTATGGGCGCGACCTCTACCGGCAGTAATTTATTTACAACGTCTTCTCCGAAAAAATAAGTGCAGATGCCTGTATTGCCAGACCAGTACTGATGTTTGAATTGTAGGAGAATAATTATACTTCTCTCTCTCACATCGGTATGGATCTGAGAGAGCGAGACGTGGTCACGTCGTATATTTTCGCATAGGAATTGTTCTCGTACACTCGTACCATTTCAAACATCCACATGCAGTTAGGGAGTTCAGCTGCTGAAATCTAAAATTATTATATTTTCGCGAGTAACATTATTTTTGTAACAGGATAACTGTCCCGTCTCCGTCTATCACACATAAAAAATATGTCTATTGCCGTTCAAAATATTAACATCTCAACTTGGTTATTCGCTAAAATTTACTTTGTTTTGTCTTCTGTCGTTCTGTTTTGTGTAGGCATTGTGTAGGTACGAATAAAAATCATTTGTTGTTAGACGTTTTTTTGTCTGTCTGGATATACACTCTGTATATTCCGGAATAGTAATAAGAAGTATATTTGCAGAATGTACACAAAATGAATATTCCGGAATATTCGTAAAAGGTATATTTTCTGGATATAAGTACACAAAATGTATATTACTGATTGTTCATAAGTTACATGTTTGTAGGATATAAGCAAATTGCAAGTTTTGAAAAGTTCACAAGAGGTATGTTTTTAGGATGTACACACTCTGAATATTCCGGAATAGTCACAAGATGTATATTTGCAGGATGTACACGAAATGCATATTCAGGAATATTCGTAAATGGTATATTTTCTGGATATACACGAAATGCATATTCAGGAATATTCGTAAAAGGTATATTTTCTGGATATACACAAAATGTACATTACTGATTCTTAATAAGTTACATGTTTGTAGGATGTACACACTCTGAATATTCCGGAATAGTCATAAGATGTATATTTGTAGGATGTACACTAAATGCATATTCAGAAATATTCATTAGTGGTATATTCGTAGAATGTTCACAAAACGTATGTACCTCTAGGTAGGTACATAATATGTCTGTTTAATGTATATACATTAATGTATGTGTTATGTATATTCTAAGTACATACACCAGGACATGTCCACTAGCAGAACCTCTGAGGTATATACATAGGATATCAAATGCTATCTGGGTTAATAATAATAATTATTATTAGAACATTTGTTTCAGCTGCGTATCAATCAAAAATCATTTTTAAATTATTTTCTTAAATTAAAAGGTGTCATAATTAAGTGTTAAATTTAATTTTGATGTTCCTTTTTAGTGCATTTCGATACGCACGTGTGGGCGCCACAGTGTCATATATCACCTCGCTATGCGGCTTGATTTTGTCATAAAAAAAACTTAGGGTAATTTTGCCCTAAGCCCCCCTAATTTACCCACCTATGAAGATGATCAAAAACTGGGGTTTAGTCCATTAAATAGAGCGTAAAAAGGTAAGCATTTGTACCAAATTTCACTTAGTTATCTTTAAAAGTTTAGAAAATATTTACAAAAGAGTGTCATCAGGACTTCACTTTTAACATCCTGTATCTCGGAAAAGAAACGTTTTCGGACCTATGTTTATATAAACTTTTACTCCTATTTTAGGATGTAGATTATGCTGTTAAAATATGACCGTCTAATTTCGGGACACCTTGTATAGTTCAGTGGAATGTCTGTAATCAATGTATCAGTTTTAAATTTCAAGTACAAATTTGGTCACTCATACCTATCAGTGTACCTATCGACAGGTTGGCTTGATTTGTATCATGGGCTTGATGTTTTTAGAACACGTGTTCACCTAGCAAGTATTTAGTTTAAAACTATTCCAGATCTGACGTTTGACACGCGATTGAGATTTTTTTCTTCTAGAATAATTTATTATAAAAAGAGTAACGGTAGATAATATCATCTAAATATTTGAGCTACCTGTTAGATGATTCACGCATATTAATTACCTACATACATACTGTTTTTTTTTCTTTTTTTTTTCTTAAAATGTAATAAGATAAATATTCTTTGTTATTTTGTATAATTTTTCTTCCGATATTTATTTAAGAAGTTAACGAATTATTCCAACCAAATGTATGGCCTGTGATTTAAACACCAATTTTTTAATAAATGAATAAATCCTACATAAAGCAGCCTTCATGTGCCATCTATTGGCGAATTATCAAACGAACAACTAAATATTTCAGTGTTTTACAGATTTCTAAATATCTCTAATACCCATTTAGGTTAAATTTTTAAATTGACACTTGATGGCGCTAGATACATTTTATTTATAAATCGGACAAAAAATGGACGCCTAATTTTTATTGTTGATTAAAATATTAAATTCTTAAAACATCCGCGGATACAGTTCATTTTGTCTTTTTAAAATTTCTTAATATTAAATAAACATTGTTAAATTTTACAGTTTTAATAATGTTAGAATTATAATTTAAAAGCTGAAATAATTTACGGTTCTGAACCATTATAATTAAAAAAAGAAGATTGCTGTTTGTCATTTTGTCAATTGTCATTCAATCAGATGTTTCAAGGTCTTGGCTTTGAGAAAAGCAAAAGGAAAACTGTACATCTATACGTGTTACGTCAATAAATTTGTGTGTTTGTAATAAATAAACTAAATAATTAGCCCGCATATCTTCGCCAATAGCTTCCCTATGTTTAGGTAAGACCGTATATTAATCATATTAAATAAAAAAACGTCCAAAAATAGATTTTTAAAGGGTATTAAATATGCCCTACCCCGATCGCTAATCGTCGTAGATTTGTTTATCATCGCAAATAACCAGTTATTTATCGCTATAACAATACAAAATGAACCGAAAACGATTTAACAATTTAATTTGTTTATTTTAAGGTAATACCGTGTTAAAATGAACAAAGATGACTTTGATTTGCTGCATCAGTTTAAGCGAGAACACATCAGCAATTCCTCTTTAGATTTATTCAGTGGATTAGCAGACAGGTGTTTCGGCTTTGTTAGGAAAAATGTTAGGTCGAAGGAAAGCATCGAACTTTTCGCCGAGGAGGAGTTCATCAGGAAGAAGGATTTCAGCGAAATGGTGAGTCAGTTTGTCTTTGTACTCAAGTTTATAGTGCAATTCTCCTTTTTTACCTGGAAAAAACGTTACTGAAAACTACTTAATAAGTATTATTTTGCATGCAATTAGTTTAATAATGTTTGCTGATACATTGTTTGCTATCATAGGTATCAAATTTCATTTGTATTGTTAAATGGCAATTCATTATGAATTTTTGACATCATACAACACTAGACAAAACAATGATAACTGCAGTATAATATGAAGCCCTGCTTAATAAAACTGCATTTCCTTCGAAAGACAAAATCATTGACCTTTATTCCCCCATTAAAAGTTAGGGTTGGATTTGAAATGATTGCTGTGAAATAGACACGACTGTATTTACTCAATTATGTATTTTATTTTTGTATTGAACAGCATAGGAAATCCCCTTTACAATAAGAAATATACAAAAGGATATAGATAATTTTTAAAATGATAAAAAATCAATAAAAATAAGGAATGAAAATATCCAAATATTTTTTATTTCTTGCATTAAGTTTAATCTAATATTTATAATCATAGTTGTAAATACTAAACCAAATCTGAATGCAAAATATCTCGGAAATGTGTGTTGAACAACAGACTCTAATGGCCTAATATTTACATAATAAAATGGAGACCAAACTGGCAATCCATATTCTAATATTGACCTAACGTAAGCTAAGTAAACTATTTTAATAGAATTCTTAGAGTCAGTATTGAGAATTCTTTTGTAACAGGAAACATTCAGGATCTGTTACTTTGTGGTTAAAATTTAAGGATTTTTTTAACTTGATGTTTGTTTCATTTCAATTTATACATTTCAAAATAGAAGAATTATAATCAGAAAGGCTATGATTATCACCACAGTTTAAAACACCTCACTACTGAAAAATATTTACTGATAACTAATCTTCTCCATCTCATATTCACCTTAGGTATGAAATCAATTTCTAATATTTATGTTACCTTGATTCTGTTGCCCTTTTTGTGTATATCTTGAACGTACTTTCAGTAATATATAATCTTTTTCTCCCAGTTCATTTTGATATTTTCAAGTTCTTATTACCATTTCTACATCTTCAAACGTCCGATAATAAATTCTTCTTCAACTCCTTAATTAATTTTCAACTTTATTTCTAAGCTTGTATTTCGAATTTCTACTGTCTTTAATATTATTGATATATAGTAAGAACAGTAATGGTCCCTAATGGGAACCATGTGCTTCTCCTGAGTATACATCAAATTGAATGGGTAAACTGCCATCTATCCTCGCTATTTTAATAGCTTTCAAGCAAAGTCAGAAATGCTTCAGAAAGTCCAAGCTTTTTTAATTTAAATAGCAATAGTATGATTAACATGGTTAAAAGCTTTGCTAAAATCGAATATATAGTGTATCATCATGCATATTTTCATAAAACTTTGAATATTTTATTAATGGTTCATCAGATTACTAATGGCAGATCTACCTGTTATTAAAGCATGTTGTTGATTATTGATTAATAATGATATTATCACAATATCAAGACAAAGGACTGATCAAAAGTTCTTCAAAAGGCTTTGATATGATTGATAATGTAAATCCTGTATATATCACATTGGTTTTAAATACAGGAGCAACTAAATTTGATCCCCATAATGTGGAAAAGAAAGTATTTTAATTCTAACGACTTTTTGAATGAAATATGAATAGGGCGATTTAGTTTTAGAAAATAAGGTGGAATGACATCAGAACCATGGCTTAATTTATCATTTAAACTTAGAATCCCATTAAAACCCTCTCAAAATTTGGAATATGAACTACATTTATAACATTGTTATCAAATCAGAGAGACATCACCAACTTTATCACTGTAATTGAGCCCTTCCTTGATAAGTATTGCCAACTTCATCATAAAGAAACATTAATTGATTTTCCGTTAGATTACATAAAAAAATTATAGTCATACATGATGTTGAAACAAATTATGAAGCTATAATCCAAGTTCATAGGTTCTGATAACTTTAATATTTGTAAACTTCCTTAAGAAACATATAAATGAATTTCAAACATACCTCAAAGACCCATTTTAGGACCTCTATCAGTTTTTATAGCTTGTAATAAAAAATAATTATAGTTTTCTAAATACATAAATCATCTTAAAGCATCCATCGAGGATCAATTTTGAAGTCCCTATCAGTTTTGTATAACCATTAATGATTTTTAAGCATTGTTCATGATGATTTAAAGGTGATAAATTCAAAGGACCATTTTAGGACTTTAGGATCAGTCTTAAAGTCTTTTTTATTCCTGTAAAAGCTCCAAATTTGTTAAAAAATAATAAATTAACCTCTTATAATTTGGCAGTGAATTATTAATTAATAAAATGTATTGAATTTTTTTTTTGAAGCGTTGTGAAATGCCTGGCATACCCAGAAGCACCTTCCTGATGGTATTCAGCCCTGATGGGTCACGTGTAGCTTCTACTCACGGCAATCACAACATCTATATAACGGACTTACGTAATGGCAAAAACATCAAAACACTTGTTGGACATCCTAGGACCCCATGGTGCATTGCTTTCCATCCCACATCAGACCAAATCGTGGCCTCTGGTTGTCTGGGTGGCCAGGTTCGAATATGGGATCTGAGTGTAAGAAAAAAAAAACAACCATGAAAACTTTGGTTCTATTAATATTTTCTTTTCAGGGGGGTAGTGAGGTTTGGACAGCTGTCAATCAAACAGTCATAGCTTCTTTGGCTTTTCATCCTAATGACAGAGTACTGGCAATAGCTACATACAATTGTGTCTACTTTTGGGACTGGAGCAAGCCTGAACCGTTTGTTAGTGCTGCTACATACAATGTCAAAGAAAAGGTAAAAGGTTTTAAAAAATTAACAATAATTTAAATTACATTGATCTTATTTAGTGTCACAATATACAAAACAAATCAACATGTATGTATCAAAAACAATTTTTGTAACATAATGGCACACAATGGCACACAAAAATAATCGTGGATTTAAACACAATTTACTACATAAATTAATTTGAACCATTCCTCAAAGATCTATTTTAGGGCCTATACATTTTTTTATGACTGTATATTGTGTTGATAGCATCTCTATAGGATCCATTTTGGATTGCATAAAATTATTTCAATACTTCCCTCAAGGATCCGTTCTAAGCCCTCCACAAGTAAACTATAGCAATAAATTATGTTGAAACAAATTATGATGCTTATAATCCAATTTCGTAGATTCTATTAACTTTAATTACTGTTGTATACTTTAAGAAACACAAATTAATTTCAAGCTTACCTCAAAGACCCATTTTAGGACCCCTACCAGTTTTTATAGCTATAAACAATGTAAAATGACATTTATAATGCTTGGTAAAGCATCCCTCAAGAATCCATTTTGAAGCCTCTATGAGTTTTGTATAACCATTAATGATTTTCAGAGATTGTTCATGATAATTCATAGGTAATAACTTCAAGGAACAATTTTAGGACTCAAGGGATTGGTCCTAAAGCCTTTTTTATTCCTGTAAATGCTGATTGAAGATTTATTTCAGGTTCGGTATGTATCTTTTGACTCTTTGGGTCACAAGTTGATTACTGGGATAGCAAATAGTCCCACGACAAGATGGGAGAGAGTTAGAGCCCCAGTACCCGTCCCAAGACAGGAATGGTGCGCTAGTCCTTACAGAAGAAGGATAACACAAAGACTTGCTAGTGGTAATCAAAACCAAGTGAGTTTTGCTTTATTGTTTTGAAGCGCCCGATATAATCGGTATTTTGTTTTTCAGTTTCAGCCTTCTACTACTGAAAATACCGCTAGCCCCCCTAGGGATACATTGCTTAGCTTCCCTGAACGGGAAAGAAGGATCTCTATGTGTTACAGGACGTTGGTTAGGGAATATGAACAGTTGGTTCATAGATATTTACAACTATATAGATCTCCAACGATGGTAATTCTGTTTTTGTTTTTGAAGTGGTTATACCTAATTTTTGGGATTCTCTAATTTTAGATCGATCGTGGTACCGATCCGATGGAACCGGACCTTTGGTTCAACAACAGTGGTACCCAAACGTCGGAACCGCAAGCCGGTTCCAGCGGCGGTGGTACCCCAACACCGGCACCTACAAAAAGTGCGGCCGAATCAGTTTTGGATGAAACCTTACCCAGTACGTCGGGTTCTCAAAGAGCGGGATCCGTGGAGGAAACAACCACTCAAGGTACTTTTTGGTTATTTTTTGTTATTAGGTATTTATTTAATTGAATACTCATACTTTGACAATTATGATTTGTTGGTATTGGTAAATTTTGGGTAAAAAAAATAGTGACCGCGGAATATAGTCCAAGAAAATAAAATTGGAAAAAATAGTGCAGTAAAATTTCGGGAAAAATTGAAAAGTAAAGTTTAATAGTATAGGAAATTTAAAAAAAAAATAGAAAACGAATATAGTTGCTCAAATTTTGCGACAAGCATTAAATATAAAATTATTATAGATACAGAATAATTGAAAAAAGAAAAATAGTACGAGAAAATAGGCAGAATTGTTTTTTATTCATTTGGATAAATAACAAAAATGTATAACAGAAAAGTGAAACAAAATAGTACTAGAAAATGTAAATAAAAATGTATACAAAGCTAATATAAACAAACAGTACAGGGATATTTTAAGATAAAAGTAGAAGAATTTTAAAAACTATAGTTGACAAAATTATAATAAATAATTTAAAAATAATGCAGTAAATTTTAATGTTTTTGAAAAAATAGGAAAATTTATTAAAATTTATAGTAGAAAACACTAGCCTTAAAATAGTACGAGAAAATTAAGTCAAATCTAGTCAGCAAATTTAATATAATTAAATGTACAATAAAATGTATTGTAAAAATTTAAAAAGTTTTATTTTTAGTTATAGAAAGTATAATATATAACTGCAAAAATAGTGCGGTAAATTTGTTTTTGGAAAAATTACAAAATATATTACAATTTACAGTAGAAAATAATAGACTTAAAAAAAAAAAGGGAATTCTGAGACCAAAATTGTACGAGAAAATTATAATTTAGTAGTACAGGGAAATGTTAGGTAAAAAATAAAGTATAATATATTATATAACTAAAAAAATAGTGCAGTAATTTTTTTTATTAATTTGAAAAAATTAAAATTTATAATAAAACAATTGAATTAAATTTGTCAACAAAATATAAATAATGAAAAGTAAAACAAATAGTACGAAAAAATGTGTATAAAAATTTATAGACTAGGTAAATTTTATATAAATTAAGAGTACAGGGAAATGTAACTTTAAAATAGATTTTTTTTATTAATTATTAAAGTTAGAGAAATTAGGTATATATATGATTGGAAAATAGTGCAGTTAATATTATTAGCAGGTAACAATAATATTAAACAAAAAATATGGATTTGGAAATTAGAACCAAAAAAATGTTAGTCAATTACAAGAAAATGTTAATGCTTCTTCAAATTAATACTTTTTTTATATAAGTAATTTTTTAAGGAAATAGTGCAGTAAAATTTGTATAACAAAACTTTTATTAATTATTTCAGATTTTAGTACCTATTCCATAAAAAGCCAAACAATCATAGTTAAGAACAGTTGACTGAAAATAAAAAAAAATAGAGAATAAAAATATCACAAATACAGTTCATGTAATTAAATAATACAGTTAGACAAAATTTAAATTGGTATTTGAAAAACTGAATATAGTGCGAGAAAATTCTTACAATTTTTGCCTACCATAACCCAGTTGATTGGGTCTAAATGTTACTATATTAATAAAATATACTGTAAAACTAAACAGAGTCGACAAAATTATATTCATTATTCTTACAAACTTGTCATATGTCAAATTAACTCCAAACAAACGAAGCTAGAATCTTGGCACCTGTAGAAAGTAACACATTCATTAAAGGGCTTATTTTAAAAATGTGACAAGCCACACTTTTTCAAATAATAAGTAATAAGCTTACAAGCCACATACCAAATGGGCATTCTCCAATAAATGCTATTTCAAGTTGAAAAATCGAGTTATTAACAAAGTTGTGGTAGTTTTAGAAATTTATTTGAATCTTTGAACCCTGCTCTCTAAATAAGCTCTTTGAAAATTGTTCACTCACTTTCAAAATGTATTAATTACTTATTGCTGATTTTTATTAACCAATGAATATTATAAAAATAGAACTCTTAAGCTAACTATTCATTAATATAAAACCAGGAAATGTGTTCTTATTGGACGAGTCAATTGCTAAATAAATTTGTGGTATAGAAAGAATAGTCTTCTACTCCATTATGAAATGACTGCCCATTCCAACCTTGTTTCTATTCTCGACAAGCAAATTAATTCACGCAAGTATTTTCAGAACCGACGCCCAGCACCTCGTCTCAATCGCCATCAAAATCCGCCTACAACCTTCTCACCCCCAGCCGAATCTTCTCGGTGATCAAAAAAACCAAAACCCTTATTCGCGGCACCCAAACTCCGGAATCCCGCAAACACAAAACCGACGATGCCGAGGAACCCAAAGAGAAACGTTTCAAAAAATCCAACGGCTCCAAAACCAAATCGTCCAAGAAGTCCAACAAGGACGGCCGCACAAATTCCACGCAAACCGATCAGAACCAGAATCAAAATCAACAAGCGACGCCTAGGAAAGTAATGAGTTTGAACGCTCAGAAAGCTCCGCACAGCGATACCAGCAGTAGTTCGTCGGAGTTCCGCGTTAGGTATAATATCAGAAGTTTGGTCCGTTATGTCTGGTGAAAATAAACGTTTTATTTATATAGATCGCATGATGAAGCTACTACTATGAACGCACCGGGTCCCAGCGGTTTGCAGAGGCAGGAAAGCACCGATACCGCCGAGTCTGGAGGGTTGCGTAGACAGGAAAGTACCGAAACCGAAGAAGAAATGAGCGCAGGACCCAGTACTTCTAGTACCGGTAGAAGAGACGCGAATTCCAATCAGGCTAACGTCGATGAATTGCTGTCAAACATCAAAAGAACAGCCGAAGAAGAGGTCCGGAATCGGATATTACCGATCATCAGATCTTTACCGGCTACCGATAGACCAGAGCTGATCAGGTAAGAATTCGTCTAATAACCTCCTTTTACCGTATTGCTTTATCATGCATCACGTTACCCCTGCCCCTTCCAGATTGTTCGAAAACAGCCGAGAACACGTCCGGATGCGCTTCCGTCAAATGTACCCGAGTTTCATGCGCAAAACCAACCGCCGTCATCTCAACTTGGCCGATACCACTTCGGACAGCAGCAGTTCCGAAGAAGACGCGAACGCCAACAACCAATCGTTTCGGCACAACTCGAACGGCTCGCCCTCCGGCGGACAACTCGCCAACCAGCCAGCCGCGAACGCTTGCAGCGAACTCGAGCGATTGGTCACGCTTTTGACCGACATCGACGAAGAGGGAACCGATAGGGGGGCACAAACTTCTCAAACTAATCGAGATAGAGATACGGGCGAAAGTATCGAGAGTAGCAATCCTACTGTCGACATTCCCGATTCTACCAGTCAGGAAACGACGGTACCGACGCGCAGGACCCTGCTGGACGACTGGTCGCAGGATTACTTGAACCAGTCGGCGTCGCCGTCGCCCAGGGATTCGAACTTTCAACCGCCCGCAACGGTGGCGAATACGCACACCAGGACGACCAATTCGACGATTTATACGTCGAATACGACGGCGCCTAGGCGACGGTGGTTTTCGCACAGGATTTCGGCTTTCATGCCGACCAGGGTGAATTATATCAGGCACAGAAGGATGCCGCATTATCTGTGGGGGCGCAGCAGATTGAGTAAGTAGTTTTTTTGTCAACCTTTCTTTACGCCCAACGTAATTTTACTCTTTGGAGACGTTTACCTGCGCGCAACTTGATTTATCACTTTTTGCTGACGTTTTTTTTGTGGCCCGACGTAATTTTCTTAACTATCTTGGCGCCCAATGTGATTTTTTAGTTTACTTTTGGCGCCCAACGTGTTTTTTTTTTGTTGACGTTTTTGGCACTCTAGGTGATTTTAATTTTCATTAACATTTCTTGAATCAAAAAATCTATTAAGCAAAAATAATCGATTAATTAATTAATTGACTAATTAAATATTCGAATACATCGAAAATAATCGAATTATATTTTATTTGATTGTTTACCTTGATTTCTAAATTTTGACAGCTTTACCTTATGACATGAATTACACATTTACATATGACACATATATAATAGATTTCATAGTTTTACTTGCAAGTCGTAATGGAATTTAAATCCCAGGCCATTTTTAAAGACCAATTTTTTCGCAATTTATATTTAGACATTTGTATCGGTTCCAGAATGTTTCTGGCGCCCAACGTGGTTAAATTATTTAATTTTTACTTGCAATATTCTTATAATTTTTGGCGCCCTCTGTCTATTAAGTGTACAGCCACCCATTTACATTTAATAATGTATGTGGCACCCAATCTGACACTCAAACTTCACTGTCTAGACACTAGACCTTACGGCAATTCCACATTCGGCGTCGACGAACTGTTCAACTATTCTGAATTGGACAATTCCGAAGACGACCCGCCGCCGCCACCACCCCCACCAGACGCTGACCACCCTGAAGTTCCGACTACATCGACTTCCGAGTCCTCCATCAGCGATATGTACACGAATATCGTTCGGGAATTGGAATCCAGTCTAGAAAACGTGATGAGAATGAGGGTAGGTGATGCTACGGGTAATAAAATTTGAAATGTTAATAGTCGATTTCGAAATTTAGGTCAGCACCAGGCCGGGAGAAACGTCCAATATGCTGAGTAGCTTTTCCGAGCGTTTAGAAAGCATTTTGAGCCAATCGGATGCTATTTTGAGGAATCTGTCGAATTCTATGGATGTTTTGTCATCTAATACGCCTCCAATGAGATCTAGCACGCCGGAGGTATAAAATTATCCATAAAATATGGTTGAATACGTATTATTTTGGTTTATTTCCAGCCCTCGACCAGTTCCTCTTGGAACGTATTCGACAGATCTCCATACTTTGATCTTAGAGACCAAAGATCCGACAACCCGACTCTATCTCCCTATAACACTCAACCGGACATAATCAATCTAGGTGATCTGTTCGACTTCGGCCAGCGGCCTTCTTACAATGCCGTAGCTTCTGACCACACATACCCCAGGAACCCGGAAGACGCTCATCACTTGCCACCTATAAGCGAAGCCGGCACTCCCATGGTTGCTACCATACACTTGACGATCATGCACATACAGAGACAGGCCAGGTTGCTTAGGCAACAGGTAAGTACCTTGTGTTTCAGACTCTTTTCTGCAGTTATGGAGGTGTTCGTTCTGGATCCGTTGACATTCAAAGATCTGCAAGTGATAGGTGACATTGAAAAAGCTGCTCGAGTTGTTAGGGAGATAAATAAACCTCTGGACATGAAAGGAACTCTTTAAAAACCTTCTTAAAGATGTGAAGCACCTTTTGGAGATGGCAAGAAAGTTGAAAAAGCTTTGAAAATTATAGAAGACGTTTTAAATTCCTTAGAAGGTGATAGAATAACGATATGAGACGTAAAAACCGCCGTAGAAAGGAGACATTGAAAAAGTATCTGGAGGTGATAGGAGACGTTACAGAAGTCTTTAAAAGTGATAGGAGATAAAGAAGTCGCTTTACATGAAAGAAAACTTTCAAATACATTTCTAAATATGATAGGATATGAAATATCCACTAGAAATGCTACGAGATATTGAAAATCGTCTTGAAGCAATAGAAGATACTACCGAACATCTTGAGGCCATAGGAGATGTTAAATAATTCTCTAGAAGTTCTAGCAGACATTGATAAGCCTGTGAAAATAATAGTAGATATCAAAAATCTTTTAGATATAATAAAAGCTGTTTTAAATGCTCTTTAAGAGATAAGGACGTTTAAAAAGTGTCTAAATATGATTGGAAAAGTAAGAAAAGCCTCTTAAGACGATATTGAGATATTAAGATCTTTAGAAATAATAAGGGATTGAAAAATCCTCTGGAGATGTTGAATAATCCTCTTGAAACCACTCTAATGGTTCTAGTAGACATTGGAAAAGGCTGTGAAAATAATAGGGATTGAAAATCATTTAGAATATGATAAAAAAGGCCAAAATATGATAGAGGAAAGTAAAAAAGCCATCTAAAGATGGTAGGAGGCATTTCAAAGGAATTGGGGTTTAAAAAATCATCTGGAGATTATAGGAGACTTTGAAAAGGTCTCTATAGATAATAGGGGATTGAAAAGGCCTCTATAGATTATATGGGATTGAAAAGGTCTCTGGAGGTGATAGAGGGGATTGAATAAGTCCCTGGAGACGATAGGAGAAAGTAAGAAAGGCATCTAAAGATGATAGGAGACATTGAAAAGGTCTCTATAGACAATAGAGGATTGAAAATCCACTGGAGATGATAGACGTTGAAACGACGTTTGCAGATGAGATGAGACGGCTTCAGAACGAATATAGCCACCACCTACTCACTTCTTTTCAACTGCCTGACCAATTTTTATCCCGACAGGTGGAGAACATCGAACGCATCGATCGCGCCATGTTAGAAGTGGAACAACTGCAACTGACCCGCCGGCTGATCGTCGAACTGATACGTCACGTTAGCGATTTGGACAGTAACGCCCCCGGCAACGAAGGTTCCTCGAGGACGTCGGTAGCCGGGGTGACGAGCGTGCGCCAGATGATGGCCGGCACGCGAATCAGCGATTCGAGTCCGCACGAATCGGGCACCGAGGACGGTACGCCGGGGCGATCGTCGAGTTGGAATTACAACCGGGAGGGATCGGGAAGCGGCGAAAACGGCGGAGGGGACGCGCCTTCGAGGAGCGATAACGCTAGGAGCGGCGAAGGGACGAGTAGCGGTCAGGCGACGCAGGGTAGGTCGAGGACTGGTGGAAGGAAGACTTATCCGCCGTCTAGGATGTGCCGGTAAGTCCTTTTATGTTCTAATAAAATTATTGAAGCAATTTAGAAAATTATTTTTGGATACCTAATTTATATCACTTTGTATACCAAAAAGGTTACTTAGTTGTTTTTATAAATACATTTAGCAATGAAGATTTTTACAATTATTCTTTTTTTTTTCTACAAACTATTTTCCACAAGCAATTCCTTTTTGTACAACCGATGAATTTTTCTATTTTTTCTTACAATCGATTCATTTTTTCTTACAATCGATTTAGTTATTCACAATCGATTCGGTTTTTTACAATCGATTTTTCATAATCGATACTTGTACGGTCTTTGTTTTTTACAATCGATTCTTTTTTCAACGGTCCGGGCTTCTCAGCCTATCGTGAACTGTCACCCAGAATTTCTATGTAAGCAGCAACTTAAAACAATACTGAATTTTAACTGTAGGCCACAGAATAGATCTGGCTACAGTATTCAGACGATGTTTTTTTCATGATCTCTGGGCTCTCTGAGTAACATATTGTAATGTTATTTATGAACTCAAATCAAATTATTAGAGCAATCTAGTAAAATGGACCAGCGCCATCTTGACGAGTCGTTTCAAAGCCAAATTAAAACAATTTTGTTGATTCTGGTTGTATACTATAAAATTCAAGGTATTAAGTATTAACTCAAAAGAAGTGAATTTTGAGTTGTGTCACTTTTGAAGCAAGAATACGATTTATTCACTGTAGATTCTGAACACTTGATGGATGGATATCCAATCGATTTCAGTCATATTATAAACGCTTTCAAATTAATTTTTCTTTTTATTGAGAGAAAATTTGATGGTTGAATAAAAAATTTGTAAAATAAAATGCCGGATTTTGTATAGTACGACAACGTGTGCTCGATGAAGATTGCTATAATAACTCTCATTTATCGTGCCTATGTCCAAACGAAACCCACGTCTAAAAAGTCGTGTATTGCCTTCATCTAGCCTGGCAAGACAGTGCCGCAGACCGTCGGTACTGCGTTTTTTCCTTCGGCCGTACTCCAACCGCGCCGACAGACCGACAAGGCACACCAACCAACTTCGATCTACTTCTAGATCCACCGCGAATTCGTCCGCCACTCAAGAGCCACCGTCTAGCGGCGGTAGATACCAACAGGCCTTCTCCAGCTACTCGGTGATCAATTCGAACACGTTGACGTTGATGACTAGGAGATTGGAGCAGCTGTTGACGGAAGAGATGGCCGCTTTTACTACGACCGGTCAAGGGAGGCCAGGCAGCAGATCAACGGCCACCATTGATTTGGGGGAGCATATACTGTCGTTGAGGTTGCACGGCTGCGTTTTGCGCATGAACAGAGTGCTGGGTAAGTATTTTTAATGCGTCTTTTATAGACATACTATATAGAAAAAATATAATTTTATCGATTACCGAATCTATTTATTTTGCAACACTGGATTACAGTTCCGTCAGAGTTGAAATTACAACTGAAAGAGTAAAAGAAACAACACGCTTGAAATTTGTAAACTATTTGACATGAATTTTTAAAATCTTAATTCGAACAGTTATAATTCGCGCTTATCTGACCTCCAGATTGTTTTTTTTTTACTCATATACTGGAATAGCTAAAACGGCAACAAATAGCACTGTTTTTCATGGTCCTTCGAGCTGGATCAGCAGAAAAAAATCTCTTTTAAGTCTACTTTAGAAATATTGTTTGTGGATCACTCCATATTGAATGGATTTGGTAAGCGATATACCTAAAGTTGCGTATGTCGAATTTTTGCTAAATCGTAGGTAACGGAGTGGGTTCCAGTTGGATAGGAAATTACAGGGCAGACCCCACAGCCGCCGTCACACAAGACGGAGTCTCCCGTTACAGCGCGCGACACACTTTGAGCCTCATAATCGACAGCATGACTCGACACGTCGAAGAATTGGGTAACTCACCCGTACCGCAAGGGTCAGTAAACAATTTTTTAATTTCTCGATTTCATTTTTGACAGTCTTTTTTTTGTTTTAGGTCGCAAATGCACGCCGTTTTAGCAATGTCGCTGCTTTTGACTGAACTGATGCTGCTGGTCGTCGTTGATTCGATACCGCCACCCACTGGCGTCAATTTGACAAACGAGAGAGTGTCGCTGACGTGTCGGATAGATAGATTGTGCGGACAGATGCTTCAGACCAGGTAAAATACTAGTTTGAGCTTGACCATCGTCGATTTTAGGGTTATATCGCACTTTTTGACCCTTCTAGTCTCTCCTTTATTTACCGCAACTTTTTGTACATACTTGATTTCCAGCAGGCAATGCACCTACTCCCATCAGTTGACGAGAAGTCTCAGATTGATGAAAATGACAATGAGACACGCCCAAAGCGCTTTAGGTCAAACGTACCACGCCAGACGGAGCACCCTGATACCCAGACACAATACAGACAGAAGAATGTTACTCGGATCGATAAATAGGTAAATATACTCGCGAATTTCATTCAATGAGGGTCGTTCAGGAATGTTCTTTGTTTCTTGAAGGTGCTTGAGAACGATAAGGCGTCAACGACACGCCGACGTGTTAAATACGACCGGCAACCAGGATGGTATGGGGCAAGAAGCGTCGAACGATAACGCAGCGACATCCACGCCTTTGAACAACACCGATTGGTACTCTTCGGTGTCCGATTTGATAGCGCAAATATCGACGTCAAACAATGAGGAAGAGTCGAGCATCGCGGATCCCCAGCCCTCGACTTCTAGAAGTTTCATGCCGCCGGGGCCTCATAACGATGTTTCCAGTAATAACGATAACAGCGATGATGACGACGATGATACTGATGCGTACAGTATCGGCGGGGGCAGTAATTTGTATAGAACTAGTAATATTAATTTGTCGCCAGGGGGGGAACAGGGCAGTTCGAATTCGATTTCGCCCCCAGTTACGCTGCAATCGAGGTAAGTTTGTTTTTGTTGTTACGTATTTTATGAGTTTCCGAGTTGATATTCGTAAAAATTAGATTACTGTACTTTTTCTTTTTTGCCGATCGATTTTTTTAATTGTCTTAATTTTACTTGCCTATAAAATCTTGATGTAGTAATTTCATTAAAACCTCTATATTCCAATTTCCCAATTTTAAACATAATTTTACTGAGATATGAAATGAAACCTAGGCACTTTCATAGTTATTGCAATAAAAACAGTTTTTCGTATATTTTTTATTGTCCAATTTTAAATGTAATTTTACTGGACTATGAAATAAAACCAAGGCAATTTCGTAGTAATTTCAATAAAACTATATTCCGTATGTTTTTATTTTCAAATTTAAATTGTAATTTTACTGGCCTATTAAACAAAATCGGGACAATTTTGTAGAAATTTCAATAAATTCTATATTTCTTAAGTTTTTATTTTCCAATTTTAAATTTAATTTTACTGGGCTATGAAATAAAACTGGAATTTCGAAGTAATTTTAATGGAACCTATTATCTGAATATTTTTTATTGTTTGACTTTTAATGTTATTTTTCTAGGCTATTAAATAAAACCTAGACAATTTCGTAGTAATTTCAATAAATCTCGAAATTCCGTATGTTTTTATTTTCCAATTTTAAATTTAATTTTACTGGGTTATGAAATAGAGTTTCGACATTTTCGTAATAATTTCAATATAACCTCACGTATCCGTGTATTTTTTTAATTGTCCAATTTTAAATGTAATTTTACTGGACTATGAAACAAAACCTGGGCAATTTCGCAGTAGTTTCAATAAAACTCCATATTCCGTAAGTTTTTAATTTCCAATTTTAAATTTAATTTTACCGGGCTATGAAATAAAACTGGACAATTTCGTAGTAATTTCAATAAAACCTATTATCTGTATATTTTTTATTGTTTGACTTTTAATGTTATTTTAATGGGCTATTAAATTAAACCTAGACTATTTCGTAGTAATTTCAATAAAACTATTCCGTATGTTTTTATTTTCCAATTTTATATGTAATTTCATTGGGCTATTAAATAAAACTGGGCAATTTTGTAGTAATTTTAATAAAACAACCATATATTTTAATTGTTTAATTTTGAATATAATTTTACTGTGCTCTTAAATAAAATCTGGACAAATTCGTAGAAATTTCAATAAATCTTGATATTCTGTATGTTTTTATTTTCCAATTTTAAATTTAATTTTACTGGGCTACGAAATAGAATTTGGACAATTTCGTAATAATTTCAATATAACCTCACTTTCCCGTGTATTTTTTAATTGTCCAATTTTAAATGTAATTTTACTGGACTATTAAATAAAACCTGGGCAATTTCGTATTATTTCAATAAAACTTCATATTTCGTATGTTTTTATTTTCCAGTTTTAAATTTAATTTTACTGGGCTATGAAATAAAACTGGACAATTTCGTAGTAATTTTAATAATATCTATTAGCTGTATATTTTTTCCAATTTTAAATGTAATTTTACTGTGCTCTTATATAAAATTTGGACAATTTCGTAGAAATTTCAATAAATCTCCATATTCCGTATGTTTAACTTTTCCAATTTTACATTTAATTTTACTGGGCTATTAAATAAAATCTGGACAATTTTGTAGATGTTTCAATAAATTCCATATTTCATAAGTTTTTATTGTCCAATTTTAAATTTAATTTTACTGGGCTATTTAATAAAACCTGGACGATTTTGCAGTAATTTCAATATAACTCCATATTCCGTATGTTTTTAATTTCCAATTGTATATGTAATTTTACTGAGCTATTAATAAAACTGGACAATTTTGTAGTAACTTTAATAAAACATCCGTATATATTAATTGTTCAATTTTGAATATAATTTTACTGCGTTCTTAAATAAAATTTGCACAAATTCGTAGAAATTTCAATAAATCTTGATATTCCGTATGTTATTTTCCAATTTTAAATTTAAGTTTACTGGACTATTAAATAAATAATCCATATATTAGACATTTTCGTAATAATTTCAATATAACCTCACTTTTTCATGTATTTTTTAATTGTCCAATTTTAAATAAAACCTGGGTAATTTCGTAGTAATTTCAATAAAACTCCATATTTCGTATGTTTTTATTTTTCCATTTTAAATGTAATTTTACTGGATTATGAAATAAAACTGAATACTTTCTTAGTAATTTCAATAAAACCTATTATTGGCTTATTTTTTATTGTCCAATTTTAAATGTAATTTTACTGGGCTATTACATAAAATCTGGACACTATCGTAGAAATTTCAATAAATCTCCATATTCCGTATGTTTTAATTTTCCAATTTTAAATAGAAATAAAACCTAAAAAATTTAGTAGTATTTTAATAGAACCTATTATTCGCATATTTTTTTATTGTCCTATTTTAAATGTAATTTTACTGGGCTATTAAATAAAACTGGACAATTTCATAGTAAATTTAATTTTCCATGGGACAGTATTGTTATTTTTTAAACGGTAACAGATAAAAAGTTGGTTAAATTAGACAAAAGTTGCGCACTTTTGTGCTCATTAAAATGGTGTCAAGAAACCATTGATGTGCACAGGGAGATTCAAATTATCTCACAAAAAATGAATTAATTTAAATAAATAAGTTTTCATTTTTTGTCAGATATTTTGAATCTCCCTGTAGATATCAAAGGTTTTTTGGCTCCATTTTAATGAGCACAAAACTGCGCAACTTTTGTCTAATTTAACCAACTTTCTATCTGTTACTGTTTAGGCAATAGCAATATGAAATAGTAGAGGACCCTGTATATTTCTATCAATAAAATATGAAACATAGCACAGAGCAATTTCAGTTAAATTTAAACAAAAAACCAAATTTGCGCATCGAGTATTTTTGTTTTCCAATTTGATATCAATTTTTATTGTACTCTGGGATAAATGATTGAGCAATAGGTCAGGAATAGACATTAAATATTTAATTTTACTGGATTATAATACAAATCATTATGGGTTTAATAAAATTACATATTAATTTCAATAAACCTCTTGTTGTAACAATATGTTACTTTTCCATTTTTATATCTAATTTTACTGATATATAAATTTAAATACAAAACTTTTATAGTTCAGGACGAGTTATTTCATTTTTTAAATAATATAATTTTACTCAACTATGAAGTAAAATACAAAAAATGTATAATCCAGGACAATTTCATAAAATTTCATTTAACGCTCCTTTTTTTTGAGAAAAAAATACAATTTACAGTGATTGCAACACAATAATTATTAACTATATTTTGGATGATCGAAAATGTCTTTTTTTTTTTCTTAAACTCGCAAACGACAATGTATGTACTTACTTTTTATTCGCTTTACCACCATGAGAATTTTGTTAGTTTTACAAACTAATATCGAATATTACTGCACCAAGAAATATATAAGATTTTAAGCTCAGGACAATTTCATAAAATTTTTAACGCGTTCTCTGATAATGTTTTTTCCACGCATTACTGTTCCAATTATCTTTTTAAAACCTTCCAAATCCCTTCCAGACCTTGGAACGTGCCTTCTGTCCAAGTAAACGACGTCCCAGTATCAGACATAAACGCCATTCGTCAGCGTCTCCTCAACCAACGATCCAGATTCGCTGAACGCGTCGCCGAGCTGCGTTCCAATTCCCAGATGGGCGGTCTGTTCCGTCCCAGATTCCTTCACCCTTTGTACGCGACCGTCAATCCGTTCGACGCCGACTTGGACGATTCCCAGAGGGAACAGATCTACGATAGCGATATGATCACTACCGTGACGCCCAATCACAGGATACAAGCTTGGGACGTGAGCGATTGGAGCGTGCCCAATATCGGCAGCCGTAAGTACTAAACAATAATTTTTTTTTTGTGATTACACAACTATGATGTTCTCTTTTGTTTAATTTTAGCGACAAGAAACTTGGTAGTAGGAGAATGCAAGATTCATAATGACGCCAGTGTCGATATAGCCAAAGATGGTACCATATTGGTAACTCTACTACCTTCCGGCGGATATTTAAACGTTACAAATCGTCTAGGTAATTATCAAACTTTTTATGTTCTCTTTTAGGCGTTCTTAGAGTCTTAACAACACATATCGGTCCAGAAAATACGTTTCCCAGTTACTTCTGTCGATATTGTGACTATTTGACGTATGTGGGTCGACAGATGACAATTTTCGTTTGTATTAAAGTTTGGCGGTTGTTTTTGCAAATACTGGCAGTTGCATATTGTACAGAACTGGTATTCTGTGTGACAACTGACAATTCCCATTATCTTATAAACTTATGACAGTTGTTTTTGACAACTGACTGTTTTCAGATTCTTTTTTAACAACTAACAATTTCTATTGTACACTTTAAAGTTTTATGGTGATTTTTCGTATTCTGATGTTTGCATGTAGACAACTGACAGTTTTCACTTTATTCTGTTGCTTATTATCACAACTGATGGGTTTTTCTGTCTTCTAAAGTTGTGACAGTTGTTTTTGACAACTTACAGTTTTTTTTTTGACAACTTACAGTTTTAGACCGCTTTTTAGATTTATTATTTCTTTGTGACAGCTAACAGAGTCCATTCGCTTCTATCACACAATTTAAAGTTTGACAGTTGTTTTTCGAATACAAACAGTTTCATATAGACAACTGGCGGTATTCATACTATTCCATCTCTTATTTTGACAATTGACGGGTCCCTGTATCTTATAAAGTTGTGACAGTTGTTTTTGACAACGAAAATCTTTGCCCGCTTTTTTCAAGTTTATTACTTCTTTTTTGACAGCTAACAGTTTCTATTCGCTTCTGCCTCACGTTTTAAAGTGTGATTTTTTTTTAATACTGCCGGTTCTGTCTTATAGAGTTGTGACAGTTTTTTTGCAATTAGCAGTTTTTGTCTGCTTATTTCAGGTTTATTTCTTGTTTTTTGACATGTAAAGTTTTCCATTCATTTCTGTCGCACGTTTTCGAGTTTAACAGCTGTTTTTCGAATACTGACAGTTAAATACAGACAACTGGCAGTATACGCACTATTTTGCCCCTTATTTTGACATCAGATGGTTCCCTGTGTCTGATAATGCTGTGACCGTTGTTCTTGACAACTGACAGTGTTTGTCAGCTTTTTTTTTTCTGGTTTATTAGTTATTTTTTGACAGCTAACAGTTTTCATTCACTTCTACACATTTCTTAAAACTTGACGATTGTTTTTCAAATACTGACAGTTGCATATAGACAAAATACTGATAGTTGCATATATGCAACTGGCAGTCTTCTCACTATTGTAGCTGTGGTCGTTCAGTCAAGCTTCATTCACTCTTCTTTTGTTCTGATTAGTGACACTTTAATACGCTTAAGTGACAGTTAAAGCACCATAAAAATCTGCTCCTGTCCCACTCCAACTCCTTACTAAACCAACCTACCTTCTGCCGATTATTTTGACGGTTTCTTCTGTCTTATAAAGTTGTGACAGTTGTAATTGACAAATGACATCGTTCGTCCGCTTTTTTAGGTTTATTAGTTCTTTTTGACAGCTTTTGTCATGTGTTTTAAAGTTTGATTCTTTGAAGGTCGACAACTGTCAAATCGTTACTAAATTTACCGTCTTTTTGCAGGAGTCTACAGCCTGAAGTGGGAAACGCTCGGCCAGTGCCTCTACACGACATCATTCGAACAAAACGCGGTTTCGGTTTCGCTGTCGCCCCTCAGTCGCCACCTCGTTGTCGGTCTGGCCAGCCGCATAGTACCCAGTGACAGATGGATAATGGCGCGCGTCTTCAAGATCCACCAGAAGGACGAGCCGGGCGACAGGTTGCCCGTGATTCGCGAATTGGAACAGAACCGCGACAGTCGAATCAACTGCATCCGGTGGTTGCCTACGTCGGGACAGGGGTTGATTTACGCCACGAATACCGGACAATTGGTGGTGTTGACGTAAGAGCATCGTTTGATTGGACATTCGGTAGGATTGATTGACTTTGACTTGATTAAGGGTTGGTTGCACTGTAAGATGGAATGTCGCCGGTATTTTACCGGCCTGATTGGTGATGGTGACTGGATTAAATGCAGTTTTGTAGAAATTCGATGGTGTGGAGATGAGAGTGCCTGAGTTTGGATCGAGGTTTAAGCTAAATAGTTCTGACATTTTAATTATTACTAATTATTTTGTCATCAGTTGGAGTGGTAGGGAACAAAACTAAGAAATCGTTGACCTTTCTTAATTTATTTCGGTCGACTTTGGAGACTTGTTTTAGTTGATATCATGGTGGCTTTACCAAAAAAATATATTTTAGATTATTTTTAAGTAAGCGTGAACGAGTTTTGGGAGATTCTCTGAAATTAAATATTGTCAAAATACAGTGGGAATGCGCCTTTATAACAACGTAATTTTCTTAGAAAGAGAAAGACGTAGGTTTCAATGTGATAGATAGAAAAAATGTCTACACTTGACGTTTGTTTTAATGTTTTTCAGTTTGACGTAAATTTTAATGTTGCGTTTTCGAATTTTCGATGTTTTAATATTTTCCCGTTTGTCTTAACGTTTTTTAAAAATGGCGTGACTGTTGTAGCGGTTTTTCAATTTGGGCGTACTGGCTACGTTTTGATTGATATTTATATTTATTTGACGTTTTTTTTTTAAACGTTTTGGCTCTACTTTTTGTCTATTAAACCCTTTGAATAACTATTGACGTTTATCATAACGGTATTCAATTTTCTGTTTTAAGTTTTTTTCAGAAACGACTTCTTTTTTCCTACATTAGCTAGATATTTCAACTTGAATTTCTCAATTTTGACGTTTTTCACTTTGGTATGACATTGTTGACATTTTTCAGATTTAATTTGGCAATTTTGACGTTTTTTAGCTTGTTTCTGGCACATTTAACGTTTTTCACTTTGCTATGATATTGTTGACATTTTTCATCTTTATTTTGCCATTTTTACGTTTATTATGTCATTATTTGCGTTATTTAGTTTAGTATGACATTGTTGACGTTTTTCAACCTTAATCTAGCAATGATGATGTTATCATGGAGATCTAGATTTTTTGTCAGCGTGTAATTTTTTGATTGGCTTGACGTTAACTTATTGGCTCGACTTTTTGTCTATTAAACGTCTATGTTACGTTTTTAACGAGAAATAAACTCTTGGCACAATATCAAAACGTTTTTCAACTTTCTATTCTTTTTACAGTTTTTTGAAGAATGTCCACTCATTTTTCCAACATTAGCTTTTTTCCATATTTATGCTTGAAAGTGATATCTTTGACACTCTATAACTTTTCATCTTTGTATATAGGTTGTTGACGTTTTATCAACACGTTTGTCAACTTTACATATCACATTGTTGACATTTTTTAACTTTAATTATGGTATTTTGACATTTATTTTATCAAGATATTATTTAACGTTATTTACTTTGATATGACATTTTTGACGTTTTTCAACTTTAATCTGGTAATTTCGACGTCTTTCACTTTGGTAAGACATTGCTGGCGTTATCATGGCGACTTTACGGTTTTTCCAGGATTTCCCACTTATTTTTCCATGTTTGTAATGGAGTTTTTCATTTTTATACTCTGACCCCTATCAAGACGTTTTTCAACTGTCTGCGTGTAATTTTTTAAGTTTGGCTTATTTTTTTTAATTATATACTTCGATAAAACGTCATTATCATTTTTTCCTTTTGATTTGATATTTTAAAGTTGTCTCTCTCTAATACATTAAATCTTACATTTTTCTCTTTTTAACAAGTCGAAATAGCTTTTAATGTTTTCCCACTTAATTTTGACAACGTAACTGTTAATAATTTCATATTTTTCCTTAAATTTCGCCAGTAAAATATTTATTTAATATGATTGACTGTATTTTTTTAATATTCCGCTGCACGTTTAAAGAAAATGCGCGGAAATGTTTCTAGGTGAATGTGCATTATGTAAATAAATATTAAATAGAAAAAATCTTGTTAATAATGAGTATATCGATAATAATAAATATTTTGAGTCTGTATTTTTTAGGTATCCATGCGTACCTGATTGAATATCAAACAAAAATCAAATATTCTTTATTTCGTGCGCTATTTGATCATTATTTCGATAAGTGACAAATGACAACGTAGGTGACACTTTGACGTTGACATTGACAGATGACGGCTTGCAATCTGATGTACATTTTTATTCATTTACGAGTTTCGAATGCTTGAAAGGCTTTTTACTAAATATAGATATATTTTAATTGTATAAAAAAAAAGAATGACCTTAAAGGCGGTATTTTTTCGGAAATGATTCTAATCTGAATGATTGATTATGTTCGTTGTACTATTTATTGTAAATATTTTTAGTTAGTTTTTTCGAACGGGCCCCTTATAAAGTGATACTCGTCTAGTAATTTCTTATTCTGTTTTAATATTTCATTTTGTTGATTATCGAAATAATTAGGTAACCGAGAAAATAACTCTCCCTTTAACGCCGTTTTGGAAGTTCTTTTCCATTTCTGATTTTTTTTTTCCTTTTTTGACTGAATTTGTGTGCATATGAAAAGTATTTTTTTCATAAAAAATTGTTGATAGTGCTTATTTGTATATATTCAATAAATATTTAAGTTAGAAAAGTGTTTTACTCGAATAAAATTAAATTTTTTAATAACTCACAACCTGGTATAAAAGGGCATTATCTTTTTAAATTGTTACTCTCACCTTATTTCCCCTATAACTAAATCGGTGAAAGGTCAATACTTGTCCAGAAAAAGAAGAACTAATTTCCAAAGTTTTTATCAGTTAAAGGCCAATACTGTTCAGAAAAACAAGAACTAACCTCTGTTTTTATTTTAAAAAATTGTTAATTTGTAGTTTTTTGTTTTTTTTTAATAATGAATGAATACCAATTATGTTTGAATATGTTGAACTTAATGAACTGGTCGGATACCAACAGAAGTAAGTCAATGTCTTTCTTTCTGTATAAAATATATCAACTACGTATATTTCTGTTTAATAGAAGTAGAAGGATTCAAACTATTGGAAAAATTGTTATGCCCTCAAGATATCTCCAGTCAATAGGGTAAATATTAAGGAAACTTCAACATCATCTGAATTGAACTTTTGAATGATTGTTCTAGATACTCTAAAAAACAGCTACCGAAGATATTTTTTTTTAGTTTTCAGTTATTTTATTAAGGACTTAAAAAAGGAGAAGGTTCTCAATTCGTGGCAATATTTTTTTTATGTTTTAGTTTTGAGTGTTAGATATATAGTATTAATACAAACTATTTTATTGGGTATGAGCTTAACACCTAAATAATTTACTAAAAATATTCAGCATTTGAAGAAGTAAAAATATATATAAGTAACATAAACTTTACCACCAAAAAATCCCAATTCCTCAACATATGAAAAAGTAAAATGTCTATATGATTTATTCCTTCACTCTGACAGCAACTAAGATTATATTTTCTCACCTATCGGCTGTACGTACAAAGCCAGTAGTATGATATAATTTATACAAAATATTTCAAAGGAAGGGTAATAAGTTGTATACAGTGACTATAGTTGTTAGTTGTACATTAATTATATAAAATAAATGTGGTGAATCAACCTTTATTATGTTTGAATGTTCAATTTAGTTGAATAAAGCCTTATATTTTCGGGTTAAACCTCAATTTCACTACAATAAATAAATTACTTTTAAATGTTTTAATTATAAACAAATTCAAAGTAATTACGAACCAAATCATTTCAGACTAAATCTGGAACCTTTCATTTTAAAACATTCATCATGTTTAGACTAATAACATGTATAACAACATTATTACCTAGTATTGAACAGGTGGTTGAAGAAAGTGTTGAATTTATTTACAACTAAGAAGTTATTAAGGTATTTTTTGATAACTACGTACCTGATTATCAATAAAGATTTAATTTTTTCTTCCTCTATATTGGCGGGAAAATAAATATTAAGACACAACTACTATTTTGTCACAAATATTTATATTATTTACATCATTAATTTTTATCGTTATAAGTCAGTTCAAGTGGAGGTATCGCTGTGAGAAAATTAATTTGTCCATATAAATTAGTGGATAAATAAATGTTACAATACATAAACAAACATATTTTGAAATCTGTTAACTATCATAGAGATGCTTTCTTCCAAAGTTCTACTGGTAATGGGTAACTGAGGGGGCTGAAAAAATAAGTAGTTACTGTTTTTTCGAGTATCTAGAATGGTTATGCAATAAGTAATGGACAATTCTTTGTTTTCCTTGATTTCTTAATATTTGATTTAGTGAGAAAGAACCAATATACGTCCGTCTAATTTTTAACAAACCGAATTCAATTCCCTGTAAGGAAGCATACTTACATGTATATGGTAAACAAATTTGTGAAAATGGATCTACATCAAAAATCAATACAATAGAAGTGAACTGCTACTCGGAATTAAATAGTGAAGCACATGCGAAAGATCATCTAAAGCTTCTAAATAACTTTCATAAAAAGCCACCGATAGAGTTAAAACCTTGTATAAACAAGGAACAAAAATCGCAACAGGATTTCGAAAGTGATACGCGGGAATTCTTGAAATTAACGAAAGAAGAAGAAATAGGTGTTATCGAGTCCACATTAATAAATCGTCGTTGAAGTGTATAGTGGCAGCCCACAAAAAAAGAAGAATCGTGCTGCATCAAAACTACTTTCCGACGTCGTATGTCGCGTCTTATCCCAAGTGTCAAAATTGACATCCTGTGACCGATGACATTTAAAAATAATCACAAATTTGTAACATTCCTGTAAAAAAATATCAACAAATTTCGAGTGTTTTTGCCCGAATAACTTCAGTGTAACTTATTTTTTCGATGTGTGAACGCATTGTGAGTGTCTTTTAGTTTAAATCAACTAAACAATCAAAGATTTCATTAATTAATCAGAATATTTAGCGAACAAATGGCAGTTGCGGATATGGATTCCTTACCAGATGAAGTTTTGGAATTTATTTTATCCCTTTTGCCTCCCTATAAGGACTTGCACGATTGCATGATGGTTAGCAGAAGGTGGCGAAGGTGCGTCCTGAGTAAGTATTCAGTATTTCCTTTGTGAATATTTGTACTATTTTTAGAAAAACAGCTTTGTTCCTCCAGGAGTTTGATGACTCCCGTGCGCTTTTTTTAGGAGTTTTTGCCAAGTATTTTTAAGATTAATGTGATTCATTTGTATCCGGTTTTATTCAAGGGAATTTCGAATGTGTCACAATTTGAAAAACAGGATAGTTTATGGGATTTTGTCTTTTGAAATGGTAGGGTTTTATTTTAGAAAATTGAGGGATATATTGCCCGTACAAAGTTAATTGGCTGTATTTATGCCAACAAATGTGAAATATGGATGTATTTTTTAACACATTTATGTATAATCTGTTTAATGCTTCCATATCACTTCATTAAAAAGATGTTAAAAATAGACAATTAAAATTTTACCTCGCTGTAATAACATTTCTATTTGTAAAAAATTAAGTAAATTTGTTTTATTTGCAATAAAATTTTTTGATATGAAAGTATAAAATGCAGGACAGGGATCAATTCGTTTAGATCAAAATAACTTGCTGTGTAATGAATTTGATTTGAATGATAATACAAATTCTGTAAGTAGCTCGAAGAGTTAAATTTGAAGAATATACTCCTCAATCTTTACAATATAGTACCATCTCACTATAATCCCTATATAGCATGTAAAATTAAATAATAGTTTATATTACATTATATAGTTTATTTTTAAAATGTATAAATATTCAAACTACTACGAAAGAATATCAAAACCTTTTTAAAGTCTTTTAAAACAGACTCAATAATAATTATTAAAAAATACAAGCATACTAAGGTTCATGAATTAATATCCCAATGCTTAGAGTTAATATTGCCTAACTGTTCTGATTTCTCTCTAGAAGCCATAAAAAGATTTTATCAAACATTGGTTGTATCTTAGTTGGAGTATGCTTCTATAATTTGGACGCCACAATATCATATACACTGTCTAGCAGTGGAAAGAATACAAAATAAATGTCTAAGATACTGTGCCTTCAAATTAAATATTCAGGTAACCGATCACAATTATACTAGGATTTTAAATAAAATGAATATGAGCTGACTTAAGTACAGGAGATTTATATCAGATTTTAATTTTATCTATAGATTATTAAATGTTCTACTCATATGCCTGGAACTCTTAGAAATTATTTCTTTCAATATTCCTAATAGAGTCCTTAGGCAATTAAATATGTTCCATTTCACAATACAAACTATGGCATGAATTTACCTATTAAAAGAACATTGAGGGTAATAAATCAATTGAATTTTGAGGTTACAGGCATTTCTTTTAATAAATTTAAGGCAATCTGTACGAACACACTAGAGTAGAAATGAAATATTTCAGACAGATTTACACTACTTAAAATGCATTTGTTAATCTAAAACTTATTTGACTTAATTTTAATTTTGTTTTCTCTTACTTGTATTTTTTAATTTACAATTATCTGTATCATTTATATGTGTTTTGATTTGTAATGGGGTTGATCCCGTTTAAATAAATAAAAAATATAAAAACAAAAATAAATATTATATTCTACATTACATAAAATTCAAGTTAGGTACTTATATTTCAAAAATTACTGCATGAAGTATAGAAACACATTAATATACTTTTAGGGCTGGTACTTAATATCTCTGATTAAACACATGATTAAGCAATACTGAATACTTTACTGTTATTTTAGCATTTGATTTATAAAACAGTATTTAATATTTGTTGGTAGTACCGAATTTTTAAAGTAGTTCAGATGTTCCGCGAAATACCATTGATTTAGTCAACTCCTTTTTGTAAGTGTGGAAAAAAAATTAATAAGGAAAATGTTAAGAGAAAAGAAAGATGTAGTAATTTCTCTACTTCCGAATTATATTTGATAATGAATTGTAATCTCAATAAACATGGTATGCATATTCCCTATTTAAAATTAAGGGGTTGGCACATGACAGTTGTCTGTATTGTAAAAAATGTGTTCCCTTTGGAATAAAAATTGACTAGTTTCAGCATTTTCTTAAAACCCAATGAATACTGCCAAATAACAAAGTGCACTGTTTTGTTTTGAGTGGCCCACTCTGTATTGTCCAAACATTGCTTTTTCTAAACAATTAAAATCGGATTAACTCATATTTTTGTACTTTATTGGAAAAAACACTACTTTTACAATGGTATCTACCTTTGCTATTTTGACAAACTATATATTTTTAATTTAAAAGAAAAAACACTTTACATGACTGAACTGGGAAATGGGAAAAACTATTTTCCCATTATCAACAATATTTTAAGATTTTATAGTATAAAGTGTTTGAAATTGTTGCCATTTTCATTAATAGACATGTTAAATCTTCTACAAACTTGTATGTCGATTATTAGCAGCAACATTGGCATATATTTTATTGTAAAGGTCGGCCATATCCTCTATTGGTTCTTGGTAAATGATACTTTTTAAATGGCTCCATAAATAAAAGTCTTAATGGTGTAATATCAGAAGATCGAGCATGCCACCTGAGTACTCCTCTGTTATCAATCCATCTTCCTGGATATGTTTGGTTTAATTAATTAGTGATGATGTTATGATTATGTTGTCCTGCTTCATCTAGGTGGAACCATGTTGTGTCTAACTGGATTGGTAAATTCTGTAATAACCCTGGTAAACCATTTGCAAAAATTGCAGATAACATGCACCAGTTAAATTTTCATGATACATGTGTGGAACAGTAAAACCATTTATATTGTCTAATAAAATTAACTTTCAAATGAAGTGTCACACTTTATAATATGTAATAGTTTTTTATCCCGGTAGAGGGCGCTAAAAATTAAAAGTAATGCAAAGAACAGTCATATTTCAGAATCTCCTATAAAAATACCTTTTCAATGCATTTGCATTAATGGTAAATCCCTTTTTAAAATCAAGGGGTTGGAGGAGTGAAAGAGATGAGTTGACACATGACAGATGTCTGTATTGTAAAAATGTGTTAAATTTAGAATAAAATTAGACCTGTTTTAGCATTTTCATAAAATCCAATGAATAACTGTTTTTTATGTCCCATTTGGTAAACCAAAAATGGCTAGATTTATCGAATTAGGTCATGGAACAAAGTCTTCTTAAAAATGCATAAAAAAGATCCTCCATCAAAAAAAAAAAAAAAATATTGAGCGTAGCGCCATCTACATATTGACCTATTTAAAATAAATTTATATCTAAGACTGAAGCTCTCTTAGTGCTCTGTGAACTGTAGATTTGCTTATCATATATAAAATATGAGAACTGTCTTCTTAAAAATGCATAAAAAAGATCCTCCATCAAAAAAAAAATATTGAACGCAGCGCCATCTACATATTGACCTATTTAAAATCAATTTATATCTAAGACCATTGTATTTAGATAAGATAGTAAAACAACCTTATGGACCTTTCATTGGAGGCAATTCTGTTGCGACATCTGTTAGAACTGTACAGAACTTCAACAAAATGGCTCGTGTGCTAGGCGCTGCCTCGATCATTGAGTATAGAATTCTATATACATAAAGTTTTCTTAATTTTTAAATTGATTTGGGTAGACTGCCAAATTTAAATTAATATTGTTTATATTCTCTAAAATGATGAAAATCCTAAATAAATGTTCGTCAAGCATAATTAAACTCTTATATCTCATTTTTAAAACAAATATTCTAAATCGATTATCGCTCCATCTATTAGTAAATAGAGAAATTACGTTCGTTATTCAGTTTCGACAACCTGGTAGAAGACAACAAAATTATCAAAGACATGACTTGGACACCACGGAGCTTGCTGCCATCTATTGATACTGTCCATTGTCCTCCAAGATAATTTGCATTGGTATTGTTCTACTAGTTGATCTAAATACAATGCTAAGACTGAAACTCTCTTAGTGCTCTGTGAACTGTAGATTTGCTTATCATATATAAAATATGAGAACTGTCTGATAAGTCAAATTAAAATCTGTGTGTGTGCGTGCGTGCGTGTGCGTGGGCGCGTGTGCGTGCGTGCGCATGCGTGCGCATGCGTGCGTGTGTGTGTGTGTGTGTGTGTGGTGTGTGTGGTGTGTGTGTGTGTGTGTGTGTGTGTGTGTGTGGTGTGTGTGTGTGTGTTTTTAAATCAGTTTTACAAATACATGCTAATTGTTCATGTCACATTCATAATTGAGTCCTATAATAAAATGCACAGATGTGTAGATGTTCTTTCAGGCTTTTAGTCCGTCAGATATTGACAGGTTTAAGTGCCCCATTTTTGTGTACAAGCCTCGAAGAGGGTTGAAAAGTACATCGATGTTGATTAAAATAAATTTACGAGTGGCTCTTGGGGATAACACATGGAAAATTCGAATAATAAAATAATCTTAACTTAATCTACACGTTAAAAAAAATCGAATATTTTACAATCGATATTTTTTGCATTTGTTTACTATAAATGCTATAATCGGTTCTTTTTGTGGTAATTAAAAAACCGATAAGATCCATTATTGATTTTATCGGTTATTTTAATTTTTCTCCGTTTTTTGCAGTTTGACCCTCAATTTTGACTTCAGATTCGTGTTCAGCGGTAAAAAATACGTCGGAAAATCTTTGTCCAACACCCAGCACAGACCACTTTTTCTTTTTGTGGACCTGTGTTGTTTTTACGTTTCTTTTACAATCGATTCGACTTCATTTTGCAATAGATTTTTTACCCAATCGATTCTTTTTTAATTTAAATACTTTTTACAATCGAAGTTTGTATTATGTAATAATTAATTTTCTGGATTTATCACAAATTTTTATTATAATATGGAGAAATAATGTAACGAAGTTGAACAATAGCACACAACAAATAAATTGCCCGTCACATCCCATAATATAACTATAAAAAGTTACAAACCTGCTCGATATATTATTTTTTTGAATAATACTAATTTAATGATTAATGACAAAGAATTTTTCTAGACGTTGTTAAGCAGAAACAACGCAACTTGTACAGAGCAATCAGCGAGTTCGACGTGAGATGGGAACGCATCACCCCCATCGACATGGCCCCCACGATATCCAAACGCTACTCGCACACCGCCGTTATCCACGACAATTCGATGTTCGTATTCGGCGGTTGCACGTGCGCCATGACCACCTTCAACGACCTCTGGCGGCTGGACCTATCCAAACGCAAATGGATCCGCCCCCTCGCCATGGGGACCTACCCATCGCCCAAGGCATGTAGCTCCATGATCAGGCACAATGATACTTTGATATTATTCGGAGGCTGGGCTTATCCACCTTCTTATCCATTGTACCAGAGCTGGCATTTGTTCAACGAGCTACATGTGTATGATATAATTTCAAATCGTTGGACTTCTGTTACGACGGAGAATACGCCGCCACCGGTGGCTGGACATTCGGTTTCGATAGTAGGCGAGTGGATGATCATGTTCGGGGGGTTGCAAAAGCCCTGCAATGCGGTGCATTGCGAGAAGAGCAACGATATATGGCGGCTGAATTTGAAGACGTGGACATGGTATAAGCAGGAAGTTGAAAGTAAGTGTGTAGGCTATCAATTTACAATGACCTGTAAACAATAATAAATTAATTTACTTTGAAAATAATTAGTTTTTTTGTTCATAAAAAAGTCTAATCTATTTTTGAACATGTTTGTTGTTTATAACATCATTGGTAAACTTGTTCTATACTTCAAAGATCCTAAAAAATATTGTCTGTAGTTAATCCTATAGTTTTCTTTTTTTCAATTTAAATTGATGACCTCTGTTATCATGATTTAAAGATTCAAATCTTTTATAAATATTTCTTTAATACATCTCCAATTTCAGATGGACCCAAACCCACTGGGAGATTTGGCCAGACCCAAGTAGTGATAAATCCAGAAAATTTACTAATTTTGGCTGGTTCTGGTGGACCGACATACCACCATTGCGACGCTTGGATCCTAAACATGGTCGGCGACCTGTGGACTTGGAAGAAGGTGGAAATTCTAGGAAAAAACAACGAACCTACCAACATATGGAGCAACCCCGGTTGCAAAGTAATATAAATTACAACCTCTATTTCTTTACGAATAACCTTCTTGTTTATATTTTTTTGTAGATCGATGACAAAATCGTGGTCCTAAACAGAATAAAAGAATCAGACAAGAGCCCCATCGCCGCCTACTATCCCAAGGCTACTTGGAACGTCGCCAGCGCTAGGACAGCTCCCGAAGATGGTAGACTGTCCAGGATAGATCTGGCCAACAGGGCGAACGATAAAGATGACAATGTCAATGGCAAAAGGGGCACTTTGAGGAACCAGAAACGCGTTGCCGAGGAAGAAGAACGACCACTAGGCGGTTCCAGCGGAAATGTAAAGGTAAAACTGACTGTTGGAAAATGACCATTGACCTTGCAAAAATGACAGTTGATAAATCGATAATAACAGTTCTAAAAGATCTAAAATTACAGTTGGCATATTGAAAATGACAGTTAACATATCGAACGTGACACTTTTAAAATGATCATTCACCAGGCGAGTTCGGGTAGTCAGGGGCTGGAGCAGGACAAAAGCGGAGTTTTTTAGGGTGCTTTTAAATGACATTTAAGCGTGTTAAACTGTCACTAATCGGACTAAACCGAACGCTAAAAGGGTCGTTTGGAGTACAAAGTGTTAAAGGAATTTGGCAGACTGAACGCAATGACCATAAACTGACAATTGACAGTTGATACTGTGAAAATGACAGTTAATAGTACTAAAATGACCATTGAATATGAGAAAATGACAGTTGATATATCGAAAATTATATTTTACTATTCTAAAATGTCCGTTGAAATGTCGAAAATTACATTTTAACCTATAAAAAGTGACAGTTCTAAAATGATCATTGACAGTTATAAAATGACAGGTAACAATAAAAAATGACCATTGACAGTGAGAAAAAGACAGTTGACAAATCGAAAGTGACAGTTACAAAGAAAAATTATGTTTTTGTTTTGACATATTTTCGTTATTGATTGATATTGTTTGTTTTCCCAGGTGCACGGGCTCCCAAGCTCCTCCTCGTTCAGTATGTCAGCGTTTAACGGACCACCCGAAAGACGGACGGAAGCCAGCGATAGAATAAGGGAACGACGACTAGCCAATCTTCTAAAGGTCGAAGAAAATCTTACGAAAGGGGCGTACAAACGCGAGAAAAAGACTTACTATCTCGGTGTGTACGTTTTAGACATTTCTCGGGTGCTCGAAAATCCGCCTGTAGCGACGTGGCAGCCGCCGAAAAATTTAAAAAACGGTCCCGAAGAGACGATCCTGTATACGTTGGTTAAGGGCAAGTCAGAACTGGTCATGTTCGGCGGCATACAAAAGGACGCCAATTCCATAGGTTTCTCTAAAAATTTGAGCAGTCAGATCTCCAATAGTTTGCATTTCATCACGGCGCCCAGCTACGTCATTTAGATAGTCTTTTTGATCTACATTATCGATGGAGATTTAGGTTGACAGATGTGAAAGTGACAGTTGATCGTTGTCAATGTCATTTGTCGGAACGATCTGTTTTGGGACGGAAATTAATGAAATTTGTTGAAAATCCATTGCGAGAAAGTGATTCACTCAGTGTTCAAATTGCTTTAGGAACTTCGCTCAATTTTTTAACCGCTTTAGTTACGAAGGCCGCCATATTATTTTATATAAATAGAGTTAAGCGAATTGTGTCTTTCATTTCATCGTAATAAAAGATTTTTATATTGGCTTCGTTGAAAAAGTTATATTAAAATGTTAAGTTCTACTTTAGAATTTTTTTTTTTTAAATGTTTTTTTTTGTGGTGAATTTTTTACAGAAGCAAGTTTTATTCTTTAATAAAGTCTTGATGTTCATTCGTTGTTTTTTTATCTTAAAATATTTTTTAATGTTTAAATAAAAGGCCAGAAAATTTGAACTGAATGTTCTAAAACGTTCGAGGCCATCAAAATGCATCAAAACTTTTTTCTACTAACTTGACAGATGACATTTTATTACTAACTTCATGCTGTTTGAAAACCGACGCACTGCAAAACGTTATAACCTCAAATTTTCATTTATAAATTAAGATAGTATAGTTCAAATTATTAATTTTAACCATGGCATTAACGAAACCAAAATCGGAAATGTCTTCCGAAGAGCTGCAAGCGCGCGAGGAAGAGGAATTCAATACCGGCCCTTTATCAGTACTAACGCAGTCTGTAAAAAACAACACTCAGGTGCTCATCAACTGTAGGAACAACAAAAAACTTCTTGGTAGAGTGAAAGCCTTCGACAGACATTGTAATATGGTGTTGGAGAACGTGAAAGAGATGTGGACGGAATTGCCAAGGCCTGGAAAGGGACGCAAGAAGGCGAAGCCCGTCAATAAGGATCGGTTTATTTCGAAAATGTTTTTGAGAGGTGACGCTGTTATTCTGGTCGTTAGGAATCCTCTTGCTACTGCCAGCGCTTAAGTAAATTGTAAACAATTACTTATTAGCTTAACTTTAAAGACTTCGTATTGATAGGGTTTACATATTTGTATGGTGTTTCTGTAATTAGGATTTGTAAATTAAATTATAACAAAAAGTATTTCATGTGTGTTTTAATTAAATAAATAATTTTTTAAATAAATATGTTTATTCAAATATTTAAAAATGCATAGTTATGAATATACTGAATATAATCAATTTGTACATAGAGAAATATAACTGGTAACGGGTTAATTAATCAATATGCTTTACAACTATAAAGCAACTATATTTACTTATCTCAATTTAGAAGCATGCATGTGCATGATTCAATTGAATCGGTGAGTTCGAAAATTTAAAATTTATCTCGTCATCGATTGAGCTTAATAACTACTAGATACCTATCCGTTAACGTAGTACAGCTGATTACACCCGTGAAATTGGGCGAAAAACCCTTTATCGTAAAATAATACAAAGGTGTTTAGAAGACTGGATTCAATTTGCACCACTAAAAAATAAGCTAAACCCAAAATTGTTATGGGAAAATGTAATTTTAAGATCAGCTTATTTCAATTTAGATGCATGATCTGCTTAGAAGACTTAAGGCCGATTCTCACTAGTTCAGGTCACTCGAGACGAGATGCAATATTGTGAGGCACTATTTAAATGGAAATATTGATATTTAGCGTTTCGCTCACGATCTTTGACCGCGGTCTTTCTCCGGGCGGATATTTTATATATATATATATATATATATATATATATATATATATATATATATTTACGGTAACCATCCAAACCTGAACCAGAAGTAGTAACTTGGGTTAACAAACTTGAACCACCATCACAAACCTGAACCAGTATATTGGTTCAAGTTTGTTTTGCTGTGTTAAATTATTTAATACCCACTCTATGATTAAAGTGAAACTTGATTGTAATAGTTCCATAATAAAGGAATCTGTAAATTATGTTTTCAAATCTTCGCGCCCAACACATTGCCGGATATTCCCCCTTTTTTATTGGTTCAGGAATATACGAAACTCCAATATGTAGTTCAACAATTTGACGTTTGCGGCGCTTAGGTAGGTATTTGCGGTATATAATTATATATACGTATTGAAAGTAATTCCGTATCATCTTGAGCCAGTGAATGTGGCAACATTGCGTATTTACAAACATTTTATGTTCTTTCCGTTTTGTAGGAATCATTCAAAACAGAAGTAAGTCGAAAGAAACAAGTATAGTATATTACATTACGTGTGTGGAAAGTGACATTTTTCACACGAGTGGAAAATATTATCGCACGAGGCACAAGCCGAGTGCGACTATCACACCAGTGTGAAAAATTACTTTTCACACAAGTGATGTACAATATTTTTCCTACGACCACAAAATAATTTCAGCAAAAAATGTAGAACCAGGTTATTATTATAATAATTAAAATGTATTTAAAAAATAATCAACAATAATTGTATTTATGCAATTTTCATATTTTTTCGAAACAAAAATTAAAAAACAAAAAAAAATTCTACAACCACCAAAACTACCCTAAAACCTGAGCTAATAGGTCTTATGTCAAATGCATTTTTAATTCGATTTTAAGTTTAAACAGAATAAAAAGCTAAAATAATGAGATATATGTAGTTATTTTAAAATTATTTTAATAATTGTTAAAAATAAATATCCTGGATCTAAGTTAATCGTCAATTTTAATAATTTAATCATAATATCGATTTTAGTATTAATATGGACATTACATAGATCAAAATAGAAATGATGTGTTTGACATTTTGTGATAGCTGCTGCGGAAAGTAGCATATTCGTACACGGGTGGAAAGTAAATTCTTATTCATACGCGTGTGATATAGGGCACTTTCCATAGGACTATATAGTGTAATATGTGTCACTTTCCTAAGTGGTCGAAGGAAAAAATATTTTCATTTAGTTATTTTTCATAAAAAGGTCGAAATGGTCTGAAACCTAAAATGCAACTATGATATATTAAATTTTTACAGTAGTATACGAGATATGTCAAATAGGTAATTTTGCTGAAGAGTAAAATATCTTTATTTTTGACAAACCTCGTATACGACTGATAAAATTTGATATCTGATGGTAGTATTTTAGGTTTGAGACCATCCTCGTCTTACTATATGCAGAAACCTTTTTTATTACTAATTTTATGAAAAAATTTATTTTTCATAAAAAGTCGAGCATGGTCTAAAACGTAAAATGCAACCATCAAATATTAAATTTTATCAGTCGTATACGTGATTTATCAAAAATAAAGGTACTTTATTTTACAGCTAAATTAATATTATTTGATATATCTCGTATACTATTGTAAAAATATATCTGATAGTTTCCGAACTTTTTGTGAAGAAAAACTTTTTTCATAAAGTTAATAATAAAAAAGTTTCCCATATGCTGCGAACTTAAGTGGACACACTGTATATGCTTGAACTTTTGTAAATACCCGACTGTTAATTTCGACGTATTTGTGTTTGGGGACTTACCGCCGCTGACTTGACATGTAAGAACTTAAAGCTGCGTATACCTATTTCAAAAATAATATTGTTTTATTTCCAAATATTGTCCATATCTTAAAGTGGTCCAAAGTAGATTAAGAAGAAATGAGAGGACCAGAGATGTTATTGGTTAATTTGGGTTGGATTCCTTGTTAAAAAAATCTCATTAATAGATTTTTTTATATTTAGACAACTAATCATGCAGGCTGTTCAAAAATAAGGTTTAAAATAAAATTGAGAAAACTACAAAAAAAATTTTTTTATGGAAATTCACATTTTTCTCATTTTATAGTATTTAGTATCGAAAATAAAGTATGGAAAATAAGGTTGTCTACAAGATGGTCCGTTAACAATGGGACACAGAACATCTATAAATTCCTTGCATAAAAATCTTGCGATATAAAAATTTACCTTTGTTCAATTCTGGATATTGAAGATATTATAAGGTGTTAAAGTAGATACTTAATAAAATGAAGTGTCAAATATTTCAATCAAAAATACTGATATAAATGTATCTATTTTAACACTATGTATATTCTTTAATATCAAAAATTGAACTAAGGTAAATTGTGTTATATCGCAATACTTTTATAAAGTAGCTCTGAATCTCATTATTAACGGACCACCCTGTAGACGACTTTATACAAGGTTACCTTTATTTTAGATGCTAAATACTACAAAATAAGAAAAATGGGTTGTTCCATTTGAAAAATCGATTTTTGACAGTTTTCTTAATCTCATTTTAAACCTTAAACCCAAGGAATCCAACCCGAAGTAGATATAAGGACTTCTTTATAGGACTAACTGATAATTATATGAGGGCTTACCAACGTCATTTTTGATATAAAAACTAAAATAGGTAAAATCGCTCTGACTTAGGCATATGATATGATACATAAAACCTGCCCAGAATCTGAAGTAAAATTCAAATTTGTAATAATAGGATGCCGTATTTAAAATAAGCGACTTAAGATCTATTTCCGGTCAATAGGAATAGCTAAATTAGCCCCAAGACATCTTGCAAGTTCCCAGATTTTAATTTTTTTCCTACATCCAGTTCATGAGATATAAGTTTTTGTAAGTTTTTAAATTGTCAGCCATATGTGGTATGATTACAAATAAAATTTTGATTATCAGAATGAACGGCAACAAACAACTTGATATTATTTATAAAAATCATCACAGAGGAGATAAAACTCTTATTTTTGGTACATTTGTAAAAGACATAAGTTTCAACTTTTTTTTATAAAAATTTACCCCTATCATTTTGACCAAATTTTGAAATTCAAACTGTTTTATTTAAAAAGTTTTAACCTAATATTTTGGGAATGTCACCCCCACTCTCCCTCTATGGGATGGTGGGGGGTAAGATTTTTATAGGAAAGCGTTGTAAATCTGGTTTATTGTAAAATGTCAGAAATTAATTTTTTATCTCACCTGTTAATTTTTTTTAATTGCAAAGGTAAGGAAAAATCGTAGATTGTAAGTATTTTATTTAAAAAGTTTTTTTTATCGGATTTCCTATTTATGAGAAAATACATCCATATATCTAGTTTGCTCTTAATATCTCGACCCAAACTGCCCTAGCCACAAGAGTGATTTTAATGTGTACATAATCCAACTTAAATTATTTTAAATTTCAATTCAGAGTTTAGAATTATATAAACAGTTAAATTTTATGATTATTCTCTTATCACTAAATCGTAGATTTCATACTTAATTTACATTTGGCAACTGAGCGAAGGTTCAGAATTGTATGATTAGTGTGAACAAAACTGTATAAAATGGTTCAAGATTGTATCAATCTTCTAATGGTTCAGGATTGCACTGGTCCAGTAAAATCTTTAGAAAAATTAAATTTTTTTAATGAAATATTCAGAGTATACATTTCATATTACAGATAAAGAGACCCTCTGTTTCCAATATACATTAAATATACTTATCCAACTTTATTATTTTTGGGTGGTTCAGGTTTGATAGAATCTCCAATTGGCTTGGGATTGATAGAAAGATGTAAATATATATATATATATATATATATATATATATATATATATATATAAGAGAGTTGATAGTCGTTGCTGACTAGTTAATAATTTAACCAGTAATTTGTGGGTAATGCAGCAAATGAAAGTTTACTTTTTTAAGTTTATTCCAAGCTTTCGGAAATGTTTATTTCCATCATCAGGGAGACTAAAATAAAATAATACCACATATTATGATAAAGTAAGGTAAAATTTTTTAATTACTTACATCTTAATTAAGGTTGTTCATTATGGTGGTATTATTCATTTTAGTGTAAATATACAATGGACAAGCTGAATCAATTACAAAATAATATACACAAACAATAATTACGATACTTTAAAACTAAAAAAATATAAATAACGAAAGATCAATTTGACAATTTGACATGACAAGTAAAATTTTAAATAAATAACAAGTTATTAAAGGTTAGGAAATAAATGACCAATT